ATTATCATTCTGATAGCCAACAGGGGAAGTCCCTTTAGACCTTGCCCTCATTTATCACTCAGCCTTTGGCATTAGCAACACTTTTGGCAAACTAGAACTTTGAAACTTTCCCACACAAGAATGAGACACTGGGCCACATACAGGAATCTGTTTCTAAACCAGTTTAAAAAGCCAAAAGGGCTTTAATATTTAAAAACACTCATCCAAAGGTTTAATAACTGTCTTAATAAGTATTGTTGTTACAAGGAAAATTAATTTGGATTTTACATTTAAAAATTTAAAGAATTACCCTGTATTTTGACCATATAACTCAATTAAGAAAATCACAAGCAGATGCACAAGACAAGGAGATATATATATACACGATAGCATGAAACAAACTAGTGGGTGAGGTGCACCGAGCACACACAAGATGCATCGGGAGATTGCAACGCCAACATTCTTTAGAATAATATTGTTAAATATTTGTTATATACAGATATGGTCTAAAAGTTACACCCAGATACGAACGGGCCCCAATGTGCCATTACAGCAGACAGGACTATCCAGAAGACAATAGTGGAATGCAGTTAGAATTGTGGAGGCTCAGCTCTTCTGCAAATCAGACTGTACATGACTTGGGCCAGGTCTACACTAACCCCCTAATTCGAACTAAGGTACGGAACTTCAGCTACGTGAATAACGTAGCTGAAGTTCGAAGTACCTTAGTTCGAACTTACCTTGGTCCACACTCGGCAGGCAAGCTCCCCCGTTGACTCCGCGGTACTCCTCTCGCCGAGCTGGAGTACCGCAGTCGACGGCGAGCACTTCCGGGTTCGACTTATCGCGTCCGGACTAGACGCGATAAGTCGAACCCAGAAGTTCGATCGCTCGCCGCCGAACTACCGGGTAAGTGTAGCCAAGGCCTTGGTTAAAAACACAAAGAAAGTAAGCAGTGGCTGTGAATGAAAACAAAGGTTCTTGTCTCAGTCTCCAGCTCTAACGAAAAATCACAATTTTATACTTTTTTGTGACCACTGTTCAGCAAAATATTTCCTCTTCTTAGTCAAGTGACTCGCCACCCTCTGGACTTTTATTACTACAGCTAGTTTTGCTTTCATCCCATTGTCTCAAATGGACTTAGTAAATAGGAGAAAGCATCAGTCATCAGTAAAACTAAGTGCTAGCTCCCAAAGTCCATAGGTTCAAACTCTGCACTTCATTCCAGTTGGCATGTTTAGGTCAATCTGCAATCATCTCCACTGAGTGCCCACAGAAGCTCAGCTTTTCATTCAATAGCTCATGTGTTCTGGTACTGCAAAGTAAGCAAAAGAAGAGGTTTTGATAATTTATGGAACCTTTCAAAGTTTTCATGTTCCTTATTCCAAAACTGATTTAAAATAATTTCTCTATCTAAAATATATAGGGTTTTTTGTTTACAGTGTTGTTGTAGCTGTTTTGGTCCCTGGATATTAGAGACACAAGGTGGATGAGGTAATATAATTTACTGGACCAACCTCTCATAGTAAGAGACAAGCTTTTGAGCTTACTCACAGTTCTTCTTCAGACTTGTAAGCTCAAAAGCTTGAATCTTTAACCATAAGATGTTGGTCCAATAAACTATATTACCTCATTCACCTATGTTTTTGGGGGAATTCAACATTTTAACATATATGAATACATGCATTTCCATGAAGTGATTTAGTTATTAAAGGAATGGGAAAGTTAGAAAGTTTGGAGAGAGAAATTTCCCTGTTCCCTAGCTCTAGACATTTAATTTCTGAACCAGGGTATAGATTTATTCCCTTCTTGTACATTGTGATTTTCATTATTCATTGTTTAATATACCAACACACACTATTCAAGCCTGGTCTGCAGCTCAGACTTTGGTACAGCTTTCCTCAATTTCTCTGGGAATCTCAAATAAATCACTGTGACTGTGTGACAAACTGCCTTCCGACCTTTGGACGGATTAACGCCCACTGTAGTTTATTTCCCTATTGTTCCTATTTTCTCCAGTAGCAGCTTACTGTCTCTGGCTGATGATCTCTCAGTCTGATCATCCACAGTTTTTTTTTTTAAACTCCCACAGCATCACTTGAATGCATTATGACAAGCTCAGAAACAATTGTAGCTGTGCAGTATCAGTTTCAAACATTCAAGTGTATTCTTCAATAGTACTTTTGATAAAAAACATTGGGGATTGAAACAGGGTGATACCAGCCCTTTCAGAAGGAAGAGGCCAGGTCATCTGTAACAGGTTAGCTGACCCCAGTTGGGCTTTAAAGGAAGGCACGTGGGCCATATATTTGGGTAGAGACAAAGACAGTGAAGGAGTCAGTCAGAAAAAGGGCAGCTGAGAGCTGCCAGAGACCAGGAGACTGCAGGAACTCCCTGAAGGAAGCTATAGGTTTCTGGGGGAAGGCTGACAGGAGAGACGTAAGAGGGGTTTGATGACTGACCACTTAGGATGGAGAGCTAGGGCTAACGGCTGAGAGCAAGAGAAGGCGTTGCCTGCTGACTTTAAAGCGGGAGAGCCATGGCCAGAAAGGGATGAACGCAAGAAAGCAGTAGAAGGGTTTGTCAGCTGACCTCCCCAAGCCAGACAGCCAGGGCTAAAGAGCTGGAGAGGGATGAAGACAAGAAACATAGCAGAGGGAGTTGCTGGCTGACTCCCAAGCTGGAGTTGAAGGCCAAAGAGGGATGATGGGAAATAAGCAGCAGAGGAGCTTACCTGATGGCCTGTCTGAAATGAGAGGTTAATGGAACAGGGGAAGTCATGCATGCTTCCTGGATGAGGATGAACTTCCAGCAGAGAGGCTTTGGAGGGGGGAGAGGCGAGTGTGTTCTCCACTGGGAAGAACAGGGTTACATTCCTGCTGGGATAGCTGTCCTGGCACTACGTCAGTAGAAGACTAATGAAAGACCCAGGTGTGGTAGAACACATTGGAGTGTGATATGTGCCAAATCAATGGACTAGAAGTCATGGAATTTTTGAAGAACTATATACACCATGGACAAGTAATAGATGATGTTTTAAGCCTTTAGTCCATAACAAAATTGCACTAGATTTGGTAATAAACTGGCCCCAATGAGGATATTAGTGAGTAAAGAAAGCTTGTATGGAGTTGCAGGTGACTAAAGGAGGGAAACTAAGGCAAGCAGGGTTGCCCTATGTCAGGGGTTTTCCCACCCCTTTTTTATAAGTTGTTACATTTGTTGAAATATTATATTGTTTGACAATATTATAGGGAGCATCTTCAACAGACCAGATTAATTTCTGGTGGTGCTGCCAAGGTCGCAAGCCCAGAGTGGTGGAAAGCCCACCAGGAGCAAGAAAGCAAAAAAAAATACCCACAACAACTGCTAAGCTAGTGGCGTGAAAGCTAGCCAATGCAGCCCCAAAAGCAGATGAAGTAGGACTAGGAGGGAGCAGCTCCAGAGAGGCCTGAAGACAGACTGATTCAGCACCTCTTCCAGACAAACTTGACAAGGAGGGCTCTCTATGAAACCATAAGCAGTTTTTATAGCTGCCCTCCTGCAGCAGTGCCACCGCCATGTTGTCCCAGAACCAAATTCCACTCCAATCCAGCTGTCCCTATGAGCATAAGAGAGACATTACAAAGAACAGCCTGCTTTCCCACACAGATCAGTTGATCACATGTTTTTACACATATGTACTGTATGAACTTACAAAAAAGCAAACACATGAATTATGAAGAAAACTACTAAACACCAATTGTGTAAATCCACAGCTACTTTTGGATACTTACTGTTTCTCCTATGAAATTTTTGCTTGTGCACATGTAAAAATTGGTCAACAAAAGAAAATAAATTTTCTTCTATATTTTATAGTAAAGCAGGCATATTTCAAATTTCCTGGCATATCTTTGTAATGACTATCAAAAACTTCCCAACAAATCCATACTGGGGGGGGAGGGGGGGAAGAGAGGGGGATAGCTCAGTGGTTAGAGCATTGGCCTACTAAACCCAGGGTTGAGAGTTCAATTCTTAAGGGGGCCATTTAGGGATCTGAGGCAAAAATCTGTCTGGGGATTAGTCCTGCTTGGAGCAGGAGGTTGGACTAGATGACCACCTAAGGTCCCTTCCAACCCTGATATTCTATGATTTTATATTAAAAATTCTTCTTTCTTTATAAAAATTTTTATAATTATAACATTCAATACAAATCAAATTCAATTTCAAACATACCTGAATTACCTACTGGAGAAGCCCCTGGCTGGAGACCCATGCATTATTTTTATCACCAAAACAAAGATAGTCTTGTGTATTTTCCAAATACATTTCTTCCTCTCTTTGCAACTCAGAACCTGTCTTTTGTGGAGCTCTTAAACTCAAGATACAAACCCTTTCTTTGTAGTCTATTTAAGTTCTTGTACTGCCTTCATCAACATGGCATCTGAGCACTTTGCAGAAGTGCATTAAGCAATGTTACTAGCATCTGTCACCTGAAGCTCTTTCCCGCCCATCCTCTTGCCAGGGGGAAAGTTTGAAGATAGAGCAATTGCCCCAGCTTCACAAGGGTTTGTCTAAAGTTGAAAATCAAGACCTCCCATACCTTAAAAGAAAAATATACTGCTAGACTTATAACCAGTCTGTGTGTCAGGGAATGACACTGGGGAGAAACATAAAAATAACGAGTTTCTTTTTAATATAATGTTTCTTTACGAAAACACAATAGAGTTTACTAACAAATCTGGCAGCATATCAGGATGATCACAGGTTTTTTCCTGGAAGTAAAAGGTTCAGGAATGCTCTAAAACTTCTGAGCTAGTCATGCAAAATCTAGAATGAAGCAAAAGCCTAGTATGCACTAACCACTGTAGCTACTATTGCCAACCAAAGTATTACATTAGGGCCAATTATAGATACGGGCAGCTTGTGATTCTTGATAGAAGAGAAAATGAAACAAAAAAAGTTACACAAGATATATAGTAAATATAGCCAGAATTCATTGAATTATCTTTTACATTTTCGGTTTTGAAGTAAACTTTCTTTACCTTATCACAGAAGTCAGTAAGAGCAGTAAAGTCCCACTTCTTGGCATAAGCAACATTATATCTCAATATAGCCTCCTATAGAAGAAAAACACACATACTGGAATAATAAATACAGATCCTTGGTTGGCATATGACAATTCACTGAAGTTTATCTTTTTGAAGAAACAGCACCATCTACTGGCAGAAAAGTATCTTAATACACAACAAACTTGCTATCTTGGGGCCTTACCTGCAGGCTTTATATAGGCAAAAAACGCCTCTTGTAATTGACAGGGACTTTTGCCTGTATAGGGGACTAGAGAATCAGAAGCATAGCAAGGTTAAGCAGAACAATTAACACAGAAACAAGGACCAGGCCTAAACAATCTTACCAGAAATAATTCCAAGCAAAACTGGCTTAGTTCTTAATTTACAATATTCTCTCTTTCTCTCTCTGTATCTGACTTTCTTTAAGACCTCTTTTTGTCTAATTTAACTCTTTTTTTTTATTAAAACAAAGAACAATGTTTTAAAATATCAATTTTACACTGCTTCAAGAAATTGGTGAGCCTCAAAACACACGCTAGGAATTGTTGACAAAAAAATAATTTAATAGTTGCTATGTCATTCATGAAACATACAAAAACTGAGCATTTTCTTTAGTCATCACAGGGCATAGAGGCTTTTTTTTTAAAAAAGTTGTTTTTAAAAAAAGGTTTAAAGCCTTCCCAGCCACCTGAATTTTTGTGAAATAGAAATAGAGGCAGGAATTCCTGGCAGCCCTGAGCTCCAACAGCTTGATGTGAAGATTGGTTTTCTGAGCTGTCCATTTGCCTTGAGGCATAAGAGCATTGAGATGAGTTCCCCATCCCAACAGCGATGCATTTGTTGTTAAAGTCAGTGATCTAATTGGGCAACAGAAGAGAATGCCCATGCAGATGTTGAATTGATCTTTCCACCAACCCAGGGAGTTCCTCACTTATAGAGGAACAGTCACCTGTCTGTCCAAAGGTGTTTCTGACTTGAGGCATAGCCTTACATGATTGGTCACAAAAGTGCAAGCTGTTATGTATCGCAGGAGCTGAAGACAGTTCCTTATAAATGTTCAAGAATTCCCCTAAATTGTCCATATCAAATCTGACAAGGTTATGAACATGTCTAAGGAAGGGTAGGCCCTGGCTGTTGACAAATCCACAGAAGCCCCTATAAACAATCTTCCTTGTGGGGATTAACAGGGATTTCCTTACTTTTAGCTAAAGGCCCAACTCTTGGAAAAGAGCAAAGGCCAGGAGGCTGGAGGACAGCACTGCTTCATAGGAATGGCCCTTGGAAGACCAGGATTGCCTCTGTCAGAGGTCAACAGCCACTACCACCACGACCTTGGAGAACAGCCTTGGGACAGAGTAGATACTGAAGGGAAGTACTTTGGTTTTCAGCCCTCGACCTACAAGATGCCTATTCCCATATAACGATAGACCCTTCGCACAGGAAATATTTATGAATCACTATAGACCAGGATCATTTCCAATCTCCCTTCTCCAGTGAAGTAATTATAGCTGCCAGAACCGCCATCCTGAACTTCTGAGGCTTTACAAACTTGTTTAGAAGTCTTTGATCAAAGATCAGTCTCTGCCCTCCATCCTCCTTTCGTATGAGGAAATACTTAAGAGTAAAACCTCTTGCCCCTCTGAGGGGTAAGGACTGGCTCTATTGCTCCTAAACAGAGGGGTTCACCTTCCATCTTAATAAAAGCTCATGAAAGGCGTCCCTAAAGAGGAATGGGGAAGGGGAATTGAAAGGAGGGTGTGACGTACAATGATCTAGTGTGATGTTGTGACCTCTATAGCCCACTTGTCTGTAGTAATTCGCCTCCAGGCATGCTGGAAATCAGAAAGGCAGTCCCCAAAGAGAGGGTGGAGGGCAAAGAGTTGCAACTGTAAAACCAGAGACGCAGGAGGATCCCAACCCTCAACCAGCTTTCAAAATTGTTGCTTAGGAGATGGTTGAGTGGTCATGGAGGACAGGTGGGCTGTCCTTTTTCTCTGAAACATACGTCTTTTCCTGCGGGGTTCGGTGGACCTATGAAATCCAGAGAACTGATCAGGGATCTCCAGGCAGTTTGTGACCTACTAAACTATTTCTTAGTAGGTGTATATATGCCCAGGGAATATGGCTCCAGAGTCCTTCAGTGTATGCAAGGACTCATCTGTGGTCCCCAAGAAAAGCTCACAATCATTGAAAGGGAGGGCTGCAACAGTTTTCAGTACTTCTCTTGGAAATCTCAAGAGCTGGAGCCATCATGCCCTGTGCATAACTACCACCATGGAGATGGACCTGGCAGCAGTGTCCACAGCAACTAAGGATGTTCGAAGAAAGGTTCTGGCCAATAATTGACCCTCTGAAATAGGGAGCAATTCCAGTCTATGTTCCTATGCCATGTGTTAAATAAAAACCATCAATTTATTATAGTTTCTGAAACAGACTGCCTGATAGTTCATGACCCTGAACTGCAGGATTGCTGATGAATAGGACTTCTGTCTAAAAAAGATCAAGTCTCTTATGGTCCTTGTCATGTGTAATAGACATGGAGAAGTGCTGCCTGCCCTACTTGTTTACTGCATCTACTACTAGGGAGTTTGGTGAAGTGTGGGAGAAAAAGAAATCTGAGTCCTTAGGAGGAATATTTTATTTTTTGTCTGTCCTTTTACACATGGGTGGAATAGTAGGTGTTTGCCATACAGTCTTAGCAGGATCCAGGAGTGCCTCACTGATAGGTAATGCCACCTGGAGGGTGTTGTTGACAGAAGAATACCTAACAGCTTATGATGTGTTGTGAATCCCTGACCTCTTCAAGTGGAATTTGAAGAGTGTCAGCTTTATGAGGTCTTCAAATTGCCAAAAATCAGTAGCCATGGAAGACGGTGGAGGCAAAATTGCTTCGCCTGGAGAAGAGGATGAAATTGGTGTTTGAGGGTGATTTCTGTATCTGCCCTCGACTCCTGTTCCTAAAAAGTGTCATTCCTGGGGTGGGGAGATGGCTGGTTGAGGAGGAGGACAGGACTGAACAACCCTACTCTCCCTTTGAAACGGCAGTCGTGGTCTGGAGAATTGCTGTCAGTAAGCAGACTAGGGATCCTAGTATGCCCATTGAGGGGGCCCATACAGGAGGGGGGGGTAGGATACAGGGTTAGTTTCATCACCCTCGATGACGGTTGCACTTTTCCCTATGATTGTCAAAGAGTGGGTTCCTGACAGTTTATGTTGGGGAACCCTGGATTCAAATAGAAGAGACCAACCAGAAGTCCCCTTCATCCTCCTCAACATTGTCCGATGGAGGAGCATAGAAAAGGATGGAGAATACCAAGGGACAACAGTCTGGAGACAGAGGTCTCAGTACTGAGAGGCACTCAGTATCCAAAAGGAACTGGGATTCCAGCTCATATGTTATGGATAGGGCTCTACCAAATTCACGGTCCACTTTGGCCAATTTCATGGTCATAGGATTTTAAAAATAGTAAATTTCACAATTTCAGCTATTTAAATCTGAAATTTCACGGTGTTGTAATTGTAGGGATTCTGACCCAAAAAGGAGTTGGGGGGGTCGCAAGGTTATTGTAGGGGGGTTGTGGTACTGCTACCCTTACCTCTTCACTTCTGCCGGTGGCAGCACTGCCCAGCTTTGAAGGCAGAGCCACTGCCTGCAGAAGTGGGGAAGTAAAGATGGCATGGCATAGTATTGCCACACTTACTTCTGTGCTGCTGCCTGCGGAGCTGGGCCCTCAGTCAGCAGCCGCCACTCTCCGGCCACCCAGCTCTGAAGGCAGCAGCTCAGAAGCAAGGGTGGCATGGTATGGTATTGCCACACTTACTTCTGTGCTGCTGCTGGCAGGGCGCTGCCTTCAGAGCTGGGCACCTGGCCAACAGCCACCACTCTGTCCGCCCAGCTCTGAAGGTAGCACAGAAGTAAGGTGGCAATACCATGACCCCCCCTAAAATAACCTTGCGACCCCGCTGCAACTTCCTTTTGGGTCAGGACCCCCAATTTGAGAAACCCTGGTTTACCCTGTACTATACAGATTTCATGGGGGAGAAGCACACAAAAGACCAGATACCATGGTGGGAGACCAGATTTCACGGTCCGTGATGCATTTTTCATGGCCATGAATTTGGTAGGGCCGTAGTTATGGGCAAGTCCCTCACATATCTGAACTCTTGTGGTACCGATTAGGAAAAAGGAAACGAGGGCGGTTTTTCCACGCATCCATCTATAGCTTCAGTGTCCAGCACAACGAGGCATATGGCGTACATGAAGGCTCAATGAGTACTGCTACTGGAAAAATCTCCAATCAAGGGCTTGAGAAGCAAATGTGCAAGGATTAGGGAACCTGTACCAATGTGGTAGCCATGGACATGGTAGCCAAAGCTGACAATAACATCGATGGCAGGCATACCAATGTAGACACTGATGGAGTCTGGCACCATTTCTTGCTCAGTACCGAGGGTGCCAAATGGGTAGGTGCTGACATAGGCCTGGACCTGACAGTACCGGACCATGGCGTTTATGCTTGCCCTCCTTCTCCATGGTAGAAGGTACCAAAGCCTTGTCAGAGCCATGTCTCTCCCTCGAGCTCCAGGGCTTTCTGACTCCACCGGTACCGGATGAGGAGTCTTTCAACTCAATGGTACCAAGCCAAGAGATCAAGGCTTTGGAGACTTTAGCTCTTCAAAGGGGACTGGGATTTTCAGGAGCAGGCTCTTTCAGATGAGAGTCCACACTCCGTTTTTTTAGAAGCCCTTTCAAAAGCCTTCAACAACATCCACTTCTTAAGGGGAGCCTGTGCCAAGGTAGAAGGGGCCCTGGATCTGCCTGGACACAGATGTACGGGGGGGATCTCCTGACCTGACTCAGACACTGAAGTGAGCACTAAACCATTAACAGTCTGAGCTTAATCTTCTTGTTCTTCACTATCCTCACCTTGAGGAATAGGCAGAAATTGCACTCCCCAAACAATGGATACGCTTAGAGTGGCTATTGCTCACAGGTATTGCTCTCGGAAGGAAAGGCAACATTTGAAGCCTGGAGAGCCAGGCATGTCCTGCCAGAAAGACAAGGCTTCCCAAGGAAAAAGAGAAAAGGGGGGGGAAGAAACCCATCCCCTCACTGCTAACACTTACTAAGTAACTGCAACTACTACTAACAATGACCTACGCTCACAAAACTTAAGCTAGAAATAGAATTTGAAATAACCAAGGCACGCTGAAGGAGTGCACGCTAGAGCTCCATCTGAGGAGAAAAAGGAAATGAGGGCGGTTTTTCCACGCATCCATCTATAGCTTCAGTGTCCGGCACAACGAGGCATATGGCGTACATGAAGGCTCAATGAGTACTGCTACTGGAAAAATCTCCAATCAAGGGCTTGAGAAGCAAATGCGCAAGGAGGAATGTTTGGGGAAGTTACAGTGCATCTTGCCGAGGAAAAGGCACTAGAGAAAATATTTATGAGAATTTAGAAGAAAACCACTTAAGTCTCTTACTCATTTTCAGTATATCCATTTGCATCTGCAAACTCTTACACAAGGCCTGCTACTAGTGAGTGAAAAGCAATTCAGAGTGTTAAAAATGCCATGCTGCTCACTGAGGACTCAGAGTGGAATCTGCTCTCTGCTTGGTCCAAAATAGCCCAAATTTGGGGACCATCTTGGTATTCTGCATATGTCCTCTGTTGACTGGGGTTTTGGAGAGGGCTGAAGACGTGCTTCCTACAACAATGAAGGGGAAGAAAGGAATTTTTGTAGGTAGCTGATGACATGTTGAAATTATTATTTAACACTGCTGGGATTTTATTGTGTTATGGCATCTAGAGACTTGAACTAGCGTCTTTATTATGATTTAAATAAATACAAATAACCGCATTAAAAAGAGAAACTGCCTGGTCTGTGTTGTGGACCTACCTCATAAAAAACAAACCAGAAAATGAAGAAAGGCACACACACACACACACACACACAAGCTAAATCTGACCTAAATACTAATTTTTCCAGCTTTCTTTCATGTTCGAATGGTCTAGCCTATTAAAACAATTAGATGGTAGGTTAAGATTCTGTATTCAAATTTCAAACCCATGGGCAGGTAGGATTGTTTCTTTTTAAATTGCTAAATCAAAAGTTCCTTTAAAAAGGAAAAACAAAACAAAAAACAAAAAGTGACTTAAGGATAATGCTATTAGGCATTTATCGTGTTTAACCGGGTAGTGAGGAAAACAGCTCTGCTACTACACTACATAAAGGGACACCATCATTAAAAAAAAAAAAAAAAATTATCACATTCCCGCCTGCTATGTTTCTTTACACTAATGTTATCAAACACACCTAAGGGAACAAAGTGATTAGAGAAAAATATCTATTTTTACAGGATCTATACTTTGTGAATTTGACAGCACATTTTGCAGAATGAGTTTCACATTTCCCCCTGTATGGTCACTTTCTTCAGTTGTTTATGTGGGTCCATCCCTCAGCAGAGGAAAAGAAAGAAAGAAAGAAAACCGGGATTGGCAAGGGCACTCCTAGACAGGACCTGAAACTGCTTATAACTCAAAAAAATTGACTTTATTTTAGATTGCCGGCCTTACCTTCAAATCATGTGAGTTGGTGAACTTGTTAAGTAGTGCAGTCTGGATTAGCTCCCATCGGCTTCCAGCAGTCCTATCACCATTCTTTAAAAAATAAAATAAAAACACGAACAAAGCAAAGAAATCTGAAAACACTTCAGCTAATAAAATTGTATTCGACCCCCCAAGTCAAAAAGCATGTAGCAGTAAAATATTCAGTGTCATTGACTGTATACCACAGTACAATTGTAGAGGGGAGAAAAGGAAAAGAGGTTCTCTATTTGCCTACATTTAGAAAGAACTTATTCTTGGAGCACTTGTGTAATTTGCTAATTAATGTCTCAAATCACACTGCATTTTGCTTTAAAGAGTTTTTTTTTTTAATTAGGTCATTTGTTAAATGATATATCAAGTGCTCTCCTTCATACTAACCACACTCTTTCCTATACTACCCATCAGCCATAAATAATGCATTAACGGTCCTTAATGCAGGAAATGGTTGACCAAAACATTATTAAAGGAGACCACTGTTGGAGGAAGTGAGCTTAATAGCTGAAGATCCTCCACCAGAAACAGTCTGCCTCTAGACCCAAAGGTTGCACATCCATGAACAGTAGGCAAAAGTGCCTCTCATGCTCTCAACCACCAAAATGGTAAAGTGGCAAAGAGAAAGTCCCTAAATGAGCCAAGTCCCAAACCATGTAGGGCTTTACAGATTACAAACACCACCGTCAATCACACTCAGAATCAGAGGGGAAGCCAATAAAATTCACAAAAACAGAGGTATTCTATGCTCATTATACTAGGCAAGGAAAAGTGGTATGATCAAAGCAGTAGGAGACAAAATTGTTAGCAAAGATCTAGACCATATTGAAATGGAGGTGAGAAATGGGGGAGTTATAATTAGCAAGGAGAGAGAGATGACCAAGACTTTAACAAAGGTTTCTGCAGTAAGGATAAAGTGGATATTTGATTATGACATAATATGGCTAGAGTTATAAAATCCCCCCAAAAAATCTCCTTTCACACTCAGAATATTAATTCAACAATTCATACTTCAAAAGCAGTAATTTTCTTTTACTACAGATAGGGGGATTAAGGTACAGAAAGTCTGACTCATTCTTCCACATACTCAAATTAAGGCCATATGCCTAAAGAGAGAAAAAGATATTGGGAAAAACTCCAATGCTTACTCTGTGGAAACAGGCAATTTTCATGAGACTGGTATGAGAGGGCTGAACAAGATAGTTTACCTCTTCAGAGTCATGCTAATGCTCTTGTCTAAGTGGCACCATAGGGTTTTCATGAATCCTTCTCCTATGAAGCACCAATTCATCAGTTATTAATTTTTCAGCTGCAGCAAAAATACCACAGCTGAGAAAGTCAAAAAGCCTTTAGGCTGTAAAGGTGTGCACCAGCTGTCAAGAGGCAATACAATTTGGTCTCCACACAGGTAAATCTCCAAAAATGTGTTTACCTATAACTAAGGGATCTCAATCACAAGTCTCCCAAGTGGTAACATGATACTCGTATCAAAAAATCTTTAACCTAGCAAGACTAGGCCATTTATGGTTTAGCCAGTAATATAATAAAGAAAGCAACAGAGGGTCCTGGATTCAGACTAACACGGCTACCCCTCTGATAATAAAGAAGATACACTTGAAACCTCTGAAGACTGAATACATGCACACTGAGTGACAAACTATAACTGAACCAATCATTCTGCAAGGTGTAATGATCATCCCCAATAGGATCAGGGGGGAAAAAATGGTGTCTCCTTTTTTCCACGCCCAACCTGCCCCTCTTTTTCCTTACCATGTATAGTATTCATCACACAGATTGCTAAATGAATTATTGGCTGGCAGAAGAGTTCTCTTCTTCCGTCTGAAGTTTAGCTACCAGACCAGATAGACCAGTGTTCTAATTCAGTATGGCAAACTGAACATCTAAAACTATAGCAGAAGGCAGGGTCACAACTCCTTATTGTATCTGTCTCAGTTTTATTGCCCAAACTTTCATTCATATTTGTAAGGAAATTTTTTTTGTCTTACCTCATCCTCTACAGGGTATAAGTTTTGTTCTGAACAGGGCATTTTAACATGTTTATTATCCCACAAATCTTTATAATGAGTTGGAAAAGGTTTTGGCACCTCTCCTTCCCTCAATAGATCTACCTGCAACAGAGAATAGAAAGAAAATTCATGCTATGCAAAGTGCTTGTGAAACCTACATAAACAATAAGAAACAGAAATCCTCATAAAAAGTGAATGCACAGCCAAATTTTGGCCACAAATCCTTTTCCACACGTTCCATCAAGTTTAACAGCAACTATACCCAAACATCTCAGAGCAGGCAATGGCCCATATTATATAGTCTTAGACATAACTCTTACCGCAGTAGTGTACACATAGCCAGTCAACCTAAGTTACACAACTCCAGCTAGTGAATAACGACGTAGTGGAGTCGACGTAGCTTAGGTCGACTTACTGTGGTGTTGACTCCGTGCTGGGTCGATGGAGACACTCTTCCATCGACTTACCTTACTCTTCTCGTTCCCAGTGGAGTACCAGGGTCGATCAGAGAGTGCTCTGCCGTCAATTTAGCAGGTCCTTCACCAGACCTGTTAAATCAACCCCCGGTGCATCAATCCAGCAGGAGTGTAGACATAGTCTCAGATACTCACATGCTTGTGTAACACTGCTCCTGCCTGGGCTGTCTGTGAGGATTGAACCCAGGACCTCTGGATCTAAAACAGAGTGCAGCTACTGCTTGAGCTAAAGCACCTGGTCAATTAGGTCAGCAGTAGACAACTCGAACTTCTCTAGTCTAGTCACCAGAAGGGGACAAAAAGCCACACTGTGCTGGTGTGGGTTATACTTGTTTTCAGTCTAAGACACTAGGATATTAGAGTAACAAAACAATCATTTTGGTGGAGAAGACACTTTCATTACAAGATGATCATTTTCAGGTATTTATATAACATTTTCTGAAATTATTTCTTTTTGGGCTGTAAGAGCATACTTCCCCCTTTAAGAGGCAGGCTTGAGCCTACAACCAAGACAGCCTGGGTGTAATAAAGGAAGCCCCTGCCCACCTTAGGGCTTGGTAATCTAAACAGGAACAGGAAACTGAGCAGGAGGAATGGGTCTAGAAGCCATCCAGGCTGCAAAGGATAGTAGTCTCTTCCTCACTCTCCAGAGGGCTAGCCTAACCCAGCCAGAGGATTTCTTTGTGGACTTTTAGTTTGGAAATTCTGAAACAGGGTCATCCGGTAAGGGCCTATGAACTTCTGTTATAAATGCTCCCTCCCCAAGACCTTATTAAAGGGGATATACGTATGTTGTTTCAGCTTACCCTTGTTTGGTTTCTTTACAGTGGATTTACTGATGGATACAGTTGGAAACATTAAGGCAGGGTGTATCTGCTGTACATACCCAGTCACAAGGGGCACACAGGGGAAGTACACACCATTTACAGGTGAAAAGCTACTCATTTTTATACACAGCCCAAAAGTGGATTTTTTATTCTAAAAAATTGTACAATTTAGTTTGGCTTTTTTTGAGCCATTAAAACTCAGAAAATTATTTTTTTGTGTGCTTTTACAAAATGTATTATATACTGTTCTGCTTTCTAATAACTCAAACATGGATATATTTAAAAAACTCCAGGCATAGCACATTTGTAATTCTCCATGCTGGTATTAATGGGAGAGCTTCTATGGCCTGTGTTATTCAGGAGGTTAGAGTATATGATCATAATGGTTCCTTCTAGCCTAACATTCTAAAATATAAAAATAAATATAAAATAAAGTGTCATCAATTTAACTTTTACTGCACTTTGAAATAAATGTAATATATGCAATCATTCCAATGTCTGATCACCTGCTAGGGATTTTTTTCCTCTAAAAATAAAAAATACTGAAAGCTATTCTGAGCCAATATAGCTGGAAATTTACATATACGAAAGTCACACAATTATGGTTCCAAATGTAGCCATATTTATGTGCATGAACAACACACTATTATTGCACATGGGGATAATTAGTTGTGGATACAGTGGGAACCATATTTAAAATTCCTGACTTTTCTGATAGTAAATTCTATTTATAACATTGCATTAACATTTGAACACCTTATAGACCACATGCCTTTTAAGCAACACGTAAGTCAAACAAATGTCAGTTTATTGAGAATGAATGTGATTTTCTTTAGCTGTGCTTTTGTGACATGCTGCCAGTTTATCATATATTTCACTTTAAAAATTATTTTACTGTACATAAGAGCGAGAGAGAGAGACAGACACACACATATATGTGCCAGGTTAGTATGGGATGCAAGGCTAAGATTCCTTTAGACTCCTCTTCACTCATTCACTTTTATCTTTTATCCCTTGAGTCAAAAATGGAGAAATTTTGAAAACAGAAAACATCGACCAATTCTGGCTACAGATATACATGCTGCAGCTCCCAAAACTTGAAGTCAAATGGTGAGGCACAAACCTATCTAAAAGAAAAGTTTGTCCCATAAGGGCCAGAATCAAAATCTTAATCATATTTCTGAAGTCCTACTCAACCAAATTATAAGACCGCTGTATCACAGAAGGCAAGTCATTTTTAAGCATATTAGATACTCTAGGTAGCTTCCTGAGAAGTCAAAAGTTTCCACAATCAGGAAAGCTGCAAAACTGATAAATGGCAGGATATCAGTCTTATGCCATCAATTTAATAAGAAGGTTGTGTTTTCAAATATTATTTTGAATCATCATACTCTGATGGTCACTGTGTGATTGGTTGATGGTCTCAAATGAGGAAGACGAGCCCCACACATAGGCATTCTCCTCATCTCTTCAATAGGTGTCCCAAACCATTTCTTATTAGTTGGAAGTGAAGGTGGGATATATTTAGGAATCTTCCTTCCTGGCCTTTGGTGTTTGAATTCACAAGGTTCTTTCCTGCTGTTAAAATAAAAGGAATACATTGAAGCACATCTTATTTACAGTGGAATACTCTACAGCTAAATGTATGTATTAACATTAGATTTCAAACTAAATTTGTGTCACTTTAGCAGTTTCTTTTCTAAAATCCTTTTTAACTGCATCCAAAACACAGCAAAAGTTGAATCCAGAAACACCTTGTTTTCAGCAACATGCACTTTTCCATAGTGTTCAACAGCAGAAAAGCCATTCTCAAAACTGCTCCAAATATTGTAAACTTTATGGAATGGAACACAATCCTTAGCCAGATGCTTTGGTCCCATTATGGTCCCCATTAACAGGAGTCTCTAAGTATCAGTTTAATCATTAACTGTACATGTTCAATGCAATATTCTATTTATACATGATGAAAAGTACTTTTACCATATGAACCCATCAGGACACTGTAGCGGATAACAGCTTTCTCAAGATGACATTTACCCGTACCACCAGCTCCCCAGACACTACCGGGAGAATGGAACATATTGACTTCTAAGTCAGTAGTTTGAACAGCCTTTATATTTGTCCTCAAACAGCAGAAAAACAGTTCCAGTGTATTCCACCTGTATAGTATGGCTTAAGCAGACATTGTAGAGACCTGGTACAAATCACCAGTTGTAGAACTTCAGAGTGATTATAGATCTCAGTATAACATACAAGCAATATCCTATCTGAATACAAAAAAAGGTATCAAAGTGAAGGCACAGACTTAAATCAGAAGTAGAGATGGATATTCAGAAGTGTTTGAGCATTCACAGCGGACATTAAAATTAATGGGAGCAGCAAATGCTCTTACTCATTTCAAAATCCAGCTTTGACTTTCTCCTTATATAGTCATTTACAGGTAATGATTTACACCCACTTTGCATGTGCGTAAGTAACTAGACAAGCTGTAGGGCAATAGTGAATTGGGCCTAACACAGAAGGAAAGATTATAGAAACAAGCCCAAATTTTGTTCTCTGTTACACTGGCATTACTTCAGACTTACACAGGTAATTTAGAACAATAATTTAACTCGATTTCTTGAAGCTGGCAGGGGCTAAACTAACCAAAGAGGCTCCACAAACAAGACTCATTTTGTTGAACACTTCATTATTTATTAACTCAGTGCCCAGAAGTCTGCTCAGTGCCCAACAGATAAAAGAGATAGTGTCCTGAAGCTTTGTTTGAATCTAGATTTACTAATTATAACTATAATAAATTATATATAATATATACATTAACTTGTGAGGACATTCCCCTTGTGCAAGACTTATTTGTTACGGCAAGGTGAGCATCTCTACCAGACTATACACTGAAATACAGACTATCCAGAGGTTTCTGTGCTAACCTATTTCATATAAAATCAACAGTTGTAATGGATGGATGGCCATTTATTCCATGTTCTCATTAAAATCTGGTGTACTCATTCATTATCAGCCACTGAGGCCAAAAAAAAAAAAAAATACCCAGTTTGAACTTTCTTCAGAAGTCAAAAGATCAGCATAACAATTTTGACAAACTATATTACTAATTTCTTCTGTTAGATTAGACCTCCAAGAAATTAACTAGTTCTGTTTATCAGATTTTAGCCAAGGAAATTGTTACAAATAAGCAAATGCTACCCGAAGAATGGATTCCATATCTAGTAACTTGAATCAAAGACTAAGTACAGAAAATTTCAGAAGTTTGAGAAAGTCCTGAAAAGTAAGGGCATGTCTACACTGAGAGGTAGAGTAAAATAGAAACCGGGACTCAACCTTAAGTACAATGTGTACCATGAAGTATTGACACTATAATAAAAGTGTGCACACAGTTGTTAGATACATACTGAAGAGCCAAGCCAGAAAGCAAAGTCTTGAATTATACCTCTACCCTGATATAACGCTGTCCTCGGGAGCCAAAAAATCTTACCGCGTTATAGGTGAATCCTCATTATATCGAACTTGCTTTGATCCGCCAGAGTGCGCAGCCCTGCCCCCCCCGGAGCGCTGCTTTACCACGTTATATTTGAATTCCTGTTATATCGGGTTGCATTATATCGGGGTAGAGGTGCATATTATTACTCAGTAAAAAAGTCAGAAGATGCCAAGTATTCTGTTTCCACAGAATAGGCATAGCATACAATACTCTAGTGAAGCAAGGTTACTGCTGCTTAAAAAATTAAGAGCTACTTGATTAAAAACTTACATTTCTAGTTGCACAAGTGATTTTTACCAATTGCTGCTCTTTGCTATTGAGAACAGATGCAGTGCCACTGGCAAAGATGTAGCTTAATACCTAGCTATAACAGAATATGTCATATAGTCAAGCAAAAAACACTTCTCTGAACACAAATTGTTAGTTTGTCCACTTTGTTACTCAGAATTTACACTGGTGAAACTGAAATCAGAATCTGGCCCAAATTCATTCAGTGTCCTCTCTGATCTAATTTCAACACAGTGTACAAAAATCTTTTGGTTAAAGGGATCTGTTCTTCCCTCAACTCCATTAATGCCAATGGGAGTTATCTGCACTTGTTAAGGAGAAACAGATTCTTTTGAAAATACTGAATTTCTATCACATTCTGTCTTTCATGTCTGTTGTCAGTGCAAGATACACATTGGAATTAATAGCACATTTATGACACAACCCTGCAGAATGCAAATTCACAGACCAATTGTTTACTTTGTTTTCCATTTCCTTCTTACTTTTTAAATTCTACAAGTAATAAAAAATTAGATCCATATGATGAAATAATTATGGCAATACACCATCAGCTCTGTACTGTAAGTTTTCAGCATTCATTTGCACATCTTGAGGATAGCTAAAAACCCAATTACTACAGACCTGAGCAATAAATGGGCATACTACTAATACAGCTTTTAAAAAAAATTAGAGCTGTGGAAATAACATTTACCTTGGGAACATATGAAAGTACAATTCATTGTTTGAAGTAGAGACCAGATTAAGAAGGATATGATGCAATTCCACTTAGCCAGAATTGCTGAACAGCAAACTCAACAAGTCTCTCTCTATAATTTACTAACACAGTTCAGTAACCCTAAAGGTTTGAAAAATTGCTATACAAATAGCCACTGCTCCAACCTCTTTGTGTCTGCATGAGATCCATTCGCCTTCACAACCTACTACTTCTCCAAATGTTACTTTATGAACAAGAGAATTTCAAGTAGGCAGCTATTTCTGAAGAAATTGATTTATGGCCAGAATACCCATGACTCTCATATTCAGTTTCTTTTTTTAATAGAAAAAAATATTGATTAAAGGTCATTTTAGACAACATTGTTCAAGATTTCAGCTCTCCTATATTTTTAGCCACAGCATAACACCGGAATGCTGCATTCTGCAAGTACTTTTCTAAAAGAATAGAGAATATGTCCCCACATAAAGTGAAGAGTTTGCAACCTATATGTCTTATCAGGGACCAGTCTCTGCACGATGAACACCCTCAACTCACACTGATTTCAATAAGGAGGCGCAGATGCCCACTACTTCTTCAACTCAGACCCCACTACCATGAGAAATAAAGACAGAGCCATCAGTCTTTGAATTTCAATTTTTGTAACTTTGGATCTGAAACTCAAATACTTCTTTTAAAAATGTAGTTCTTTCATCCTTAGCAGTGACTGGATGACTAGCAAAGAACATCATTGTAAATAGGGAAGGAGCGGAGGCTAAAATGGGGGGGAAGGGGAGAAATAAGTTAAGAATTACTGGGGGCTTGTCTACACTTACAGCGCTGCACCAGTGCAGCTGTGCTGTTGTAGCACTTAGTGGATTTTCCATACCCCTCAGCAACACAGTTATATCAGCATAAGTTTGCAGTGTAGCCCAGGGCTTAGAAAAGTTAGATGTCTTCAAGTCGGCTGGGCCTGATGTAATACAGCCTAGAATACTTAGGAATTGGCTGAAGAGATCTCTCAGCCATTAGTTATCTTTGAGAATTCATGGAAGAGAGGAGAGAACTGGAAAAGGGCAAGTACAGTATCTATAAAAAGGGGAATAAGGACAACCCAGGTAATTATAGACCAGTCAGCTTAACTTGGTTGTCTAGAAAGATAATGGAGCAAACAATCAATTTGTAGGCACCTAGAACAAAATAAGGTAGTAACAGTCAACATGGATTTGTAAAGAACAATTCATGTCAAACCAACCTAATAGTCTTCTGACTGGATAAGCAGCCTTGTGTATGGGGGTGGGGAGAAGCACTAGATGTCATACATCTTGACTTTAAAAAGGCTTTTGATACTGTCTCATATGACCTCCTCAAAAACAAACTAGAGAAATATAACCTAGACAAATCTATTATAAAGAGTGTACACCTCTTTGAGGCAGCTTGTGTTTTTGCTGTATTTTTATAGCACCTAGCACAATGATGTCTTGATCCATGACTAGGACTTCTATGCTTTATGGTAATACAAACAAAAAACAAACAGCAAGCACCATCATCACTACATTTCCCAATTATGAATATCTTTCTCAATGTTTTCTGGAATGAAATTTTCCATATTGGTTTCAACCCAAAGGTGGATATTTTGGCAAGTTTGAGCAAAACTAAGTCAGGTTTGTTTGTTTGTTTTTTTAGCTGAATAATGTAAGCACTGAAAAAACAAATAAAAAAAAAAAGCTCCCTTCCCCCATGTATTCTGATTGAATTTTGTAGCTTCTGCCTTCTTTGCATTAGACGAATGCACATACAAAAATCGATCTTTTTTTTTTAATATTGATCATTGACAAAGGAACAATTGAAGTTTGAAGGAAATCTTCTTGATCAGTGGCTTACATTCTTTACCCAAAAACACCTCAAAAATAGATTATCAGTGTATTTAAGGATTGGTCCACTGGATCTCTTTAAAAGCAGATAAGAGCTACTAAATTGTATTAGACTGTGTTATAGCTCAGTAGGCCAGATTCATCCTTGCTATAAATCTATTGACTTCAATGGAATTACATTAGGAATTTAATTTGATCCTATGATCATACTAATTCGTTAGAAAGAAAAATTTCACTTGTATTCAAGCTCATATGTAACAGTCAGAAGTCATTCAACAATTCACAGTACTCATTTGCCAAGATATATCAAAAGAAAATACGTACCACCTCTTTATTTTAGAAGAACCCTGCTATTACAATTTACTAAACAATGAATAGTAAAGCTATTCTTTGTCACAGATGTCCTGTGCCATCATGTGTTTCCATGTATTAAAATCTAATTATTCTAAACAATTTCTTGACAAGATATACAAAGAAGCACTTTCCATTACTCTGGCTTTAGAAGGTCAGTATTAATTCATGACCTTAATATTTCTTCTGTGTTCTAGAAATGGCACAAGACAAGCTGTTATTGTGTAACCTTGAAATAAGGTTATATAAATATTTTTGAAATTATCTGCTGTTTTTATAGCAATGGTTTCTTCACTTTTACGTAAATTTTGCAAATCTGCTTAGAGGATAATAAAACAACTACTGTGTTATTACTGAAGAGAAATATTTAAAAGGGAAAGAAGGAAGAGGACAAACAAAGGTTACCTTTTCTCCTCTGTTCTGGGTATCCTCATGAAATGGGCAGTGATTTTCGAGTCCTTCTTCCCACAGTGTTTTGCACCTTTGCATTCTGATGAAAGAGTGGGAGAGATCCCATATGACTTCGTATGCAATTCATCCTCTTTGACAGAGTCATCCGTCCCCTCAAAATGGAGGTTATATCGAGCACCTTCACAACATTTGGAAGAAAACGGTGACCTTCTCAACTCTGGGTCAGCATTCCCTCGCTGAAACCTGGAAGATTTGCTTGCAGCTTTTGATGTGTCAACATCCTCTTGCTCATCAAGAAATTGACTTGTTTCTTCATCAGCTTCTGAGCCCTGGCAGCTATTCTTGGAATTATCTACATCCATTGGTGACTCCGGTTCACTTTCTTTCTCAAAAGAATGCGAATCTCCTGAACTACTTTGATATTTGTTCAGTTTTCCTGGACCTCTGATATCAGATACACAAGTATCACTGCAAACATCTGAAAGTGGGTTTTCTGGAACTACATCCACCTCATTTTGCTCACTAGTCACACAGACTACATGGACAGGATTGCAGCTCTTTAGCTGCTGTGGATTACATGAAGTTACTTTTCCTTCTGTTTCACTGTCTTTCAATGGATGTTTTGTATTTGCCATCTTCACAGACCTGCCTGATGATAATTTCCTGTGAGTCCAATTGTCACTATTTTCTTCACTACCTCTGTGAACCTGCTTGCCAGTTTTCTGCATGTGATCAATATTGGCATTTTTAAACTGATCTCCAGACCCGGTCCCTTTAACAGGCTCTATGTCTGATGACTGATCTCTGCATGGCCCCTCTGCCTCCCATTTACACAGGTTGCCAGTCTGAGGCAGATTTACAAGTTTTGTACTCATTTCCACAGATTTTGTTGGATAGCTTTGTGGACAAATATTCTCTAGCTTTTTAACATCATGCTCACACAAGTTATCCTTTTTAACAGAAGTCATCTTGGGATCTGCTCCCGTGCTATTAGTTTTGCTCTGCAAACTGTGGAAGAAAAGATTTGAAAAGCTGGGTTTAACCGTTTCTTGAAAAATGAAATTCTTATTTGTAGATTTAAAGGCCAGAGGGACTACTACAACCATGTAAGACAAACCACAGAATTTTACCCCAGTAACATCAGCAGTAAAGTCCAATAACTTACAGCTAAACTAGAGTATATCTTTTAAAAAGATAACATGTCTCCTGTTAAAGGTTCAAAGTGAGATGATGAATTAGTTACTTCTCTCAGTCATCTGTTCCAGTGGTTGATTATCCTCACAGTTAAAATGTCACATCTTACTTCCAATTAAATTTTTCTATCTTCACTTTCCAGCCACTGAATCTTGTTATGCCTTTTCTGTCATCTTAAAGACCCTCATAAATGAGGTCTCTTTTCTGTCAATATAGGTCATTCGAGGCCATGATCAACTCATCTCTTAACCGTGTTTTTGATCATCTAAATACAATATGATTTAACTAGCTCAACTGAAGCTATGTTTCCCAGACCTCAAATCATTTTTGTAGCTTCTCTCTGAACATTCAGCAATTTTTCTACACATGTTTAAAAGTATGGACACCAGAACTGGACATAATAATTTAGTTATTTTCTCACCAATGTCATATATACCTCTACTCCTACTCCACATGCATCCAGTTTATACATTTATGCATAATAATTCTTGGATGTAGCAGTCCTAAACAGTCTGCATTTTAATAAAAAGTGATATTTACTAAACGTGTTGTTATTTTACAGCTAAGTTAGTTCTAGACTAAATATTACAGTAAGAGTGAACAGAGACATGATCTGCTGATTAAATATCAGGTCTGTGATTCAAAAGATTTAGTTTATATTCCCAGCATGCACCCAAGCAGCAATGAGCAAGTCACTTCACCTTTCTGTGCCTACATGTACTCATCTGTAAATCTGTATAAAAATACATATCTATAGCAAAGAGACGGTGTAAAACTAAATAAATGTTCATACAGAACTTTAAGATCTTCATATAGAAGGTTCTATTATAGAATTGTCTATAAGTAACATAGATCAAATGTTAGACAGTAGTTTGTTAGGTTTTTCCTTAATCTTTCATCATCTAAAAGATAAAAAAGGGAAATTACTGATTGTTAAAGTTTATAAACTCTTTGACTAAACTCATTTTGATAAGCTACTGAAAGTCAGCAACCCCCTCAATAAATGATAATATTCTGCTGTTCTTAGAAGATACTATGGATGAATAAATGGATTACTTGTTGCATACTATGAACTAAGCAATCCAAATCAACAGGATAAATGGGCCACTGCTCAAGACCTGACACTGAAAGCGCAGAAGCTACAAGAACACTAGTTACAATTAAAAAGAGTTTGGTGGCTTTCATCTTACAATATTCACATCTACATCCATTAATCTGTATACCTATATCAGTTTCTCTACTCATTGAGCACTGCTTTACCGCGTTATATCTGAATTCATGTTATATCGGGGTAGAGGTGTATTTGTAATAGTGATACTGTCACACCAGCCTATGAATAAGTTTATGAAAGCAAGATTGGGCATTCATACTCAGCAAGGAGAGTATGCTCCAAACTAAACCCATATGTGAGTAGCTACAACTTGATCACAGTCAATGGAGATGCACCACCTTATATCAGAACTGAATATGATCCTAAAAGCTGTAGGAACAGCAAAACTATTTGCTGAAAACATGTCAGGGGTCAGCAACCGGCGGCACGCGAGCCGATTTTTAGTGGCACTCTGCTGCCAGCCAGGGTCCCGGCTGCCGGCCCCACTCAGCCCACTGCCGGCCTGGATGAATGGAACTCCAGGCCGGCAGCAGGCTGAGCGGGGCCGGCAGCTGAGACCCCGTCTGGCAGGAGCCGTCAGAAAGAAGGGGTCCCAGCCTCTGGCCCCGTTCAGCCCACTGCAAGTCTGGGGTCCTGGCCACTGGCCCCCTGTCAGCTGGCTGCCGGCCTGGGATACCAGCTGCCAGCCCCACTCACCTCACTGCACTATTATTTACTTTACATACAACAATAGTTTAGTTATATAATCTAGACTTATAGAGAGAGACCTTCTAAAAATGTTAAAATGCATTACTGGCACATTAAACCTTAAATTACAGTGAATAAATGAAATCTTGGCACCCCACTTCTGAAAGGTTGCCAATCCCTGCTCTATGTTATACCAAAATGAAAGCAGAGCCGTATCTACAATAGTCCTACTTCTATTCCGGAATAAAATGATTGTTAGTAAATTATAATAAATCTTCTGACACAAATCCTCTTTAGAGACCGTTAAAAGAATTGTTCCATTAATTAAAAAAAAAAAACAAAAAAAAATAAACTTTCTAAGACAGTTTATTAGTATAGCTTTACCTTCTTTAACTTCAGTTGTTCTTTGGGTTCCGTTTACTTTCTT